AAGATATTAGAATGAAAAATTGTCTTCAATAATTTCATTATCAGCCTATAAAGTTATGAGTATTATAACGGTCAAAATATTACTTACATAAATGAATGAACCAGGTAATGTTACATATAGAATGTACGAATCTGTTATGGCTTAAATGGATCCAAACTTTTTTATTAGCAAATTGTATTCAATACCTAGAATTAGGACGTTGATAGAGATTAGATTAAATTTTTGATTATTCATGAAAACATCCAACTTGCAAACTGATAAAATAAATTAATTTCCCGATAAGTATTTAAATATATATGATATCGTACTTGGGTAAAAATTGAGATTGTTTTGACACGACTTCCATGTTTGAAGTATAAATTCCTAAATTTACCTCTGCAGTCACTTATAAGTATTTGCTGCATAAATACATTTTGGAGTATAAGACTAGATTATACTGTTTTGCTTTACAGAGATCTAAAGCTAATACTAACTAAATATACATTGGAAATTCTGCTAGAATATAGATTCGTACACAATTTTGGCGTACTTTGATTAGGAGTATTAGTAGAGTCTGAAATGCCTGTTTCTTATTATTGGTGAGTGATCAGTCAAATATACCTGCTATTGACAAACCACATAAAATGGAATTTATAGCAAAACTGATTTGTTTAATAATGACCACTCTCTAAAAGACACTGTTACAACTCATTAAGAAATACTTATAAATTTAGACTTTACATTGTAATATGTTCTTTTAACTTACTAACTTTCAGTTATTAAGATTATTCCTAAATCTCTTGGAATTATAACCTCTATATAACTCAATAAACGACTACGCAGCATAAAAGATGGTACTTCATTTCTATTTTTGCTATCCCCAAAAAATTTGATTTCTTTACATTAAACAAAACAACTAAAAAACTTGATGTGATTGTTGGAATGAATTTGTGGTTATGCTCTACCTTTTAAAAATTGAAGTAGGTTCTTGTCGGTGACCTGTAAATCATTTTGAAAATTCTTTAGGAGGTAAATGGTTTCAGTATATATATATATATATATATATATATATATATATATATATATATATATATGCAATTACATATCAGGTTTGCATGTTATTTGTAAATAATCTATTTCATTTTCAAAAATGAAATTTAGGTTAGCAGTTACATTTGACCGTGAATTTTGGTAATCCAAATATTCAATACTACTGGAGTTTCTTCAAAGTTTCAGATACACCTGATTATTGTATAACACTAATCAAGAAACATTTAAGCGTAAAACTGAACTCTATTAATCTCAAAAAGTAACCTTAATATGATTTAAAATCAACTGTTTAATAGTTTTCTTTTACCATTGGTAATAAACAACAAGAATACGTTAATATACAAACTTGAAATCAGGGGATTTCAAAAAAATTGTGTTTACAATTTATCAGGGAATATTACAGTTTCAACATTCAGATTAGAAATTAATGGTCTGTTTATTTTAAATTCCATACTCAAAATTTAATTTATGATCGACAAAAGTACCATATATTTTTTTAAAGGTCTCTAGATTTATGTACAAGTTATAATCGGAAATCAAGTCATAATAATAATTGAGATATATGTGAATGATTTCATCAAAAAATCATACTATTCAATTATAGTTTGTACCAATCTAAAACAACCTTCAAAACTCAATTAAATCCAAGGAAAATAGAACTATATTAATTCGTCTAAAACATTTAAGATCAAAAAAATCTTTTATATTTTAGTTATGGAATTATAAAATTTTGGAGATAAAGAAATATTAACCGTTTGATTCATGTCATCATTTGAAAAATCAGTTATAAATAAGAATCAAGTAACTGTGTAATTCTGTAGAATATGTACAACTGATCAATCTCAGCCCTAATGAGAAGATACAAGTAAAACAACACCAAGTGAATTTAGATTAGTATATTTTGTCAACATTAAAAAAAACCCAGATAACTTGTTTCACTTTCTAAACTATTATAAACCATTAAATTACGAGATGAAGTAGAGTCTTTTATAAGTACATGGTGATGATATCAGACCTTGTGATGAAACATTTTATCTGTAGTTAAATCATTAACTATTTACTATTAATGCTTTATATTTCTAGTTTCCGGTTTAATATTACACTCATAATACTGATTTTATAAGTACACTTTGTTTTAATTTAAACATATAAATTATTACATAATAGAAAGTTAATTGAATAGTAAAATTTGCTTCTTTCTTTAAATAAATGTCATGTAAAATCAAACAATCAAAGATTTTGTAAATAAACGAATATGATCAACAACAAAAGAATGAACAAAACAGAAATCCTTAAAGTTGAATATTCAATTCACTCAGCAGGAAAGTGAAATGTCATTTTTATTTAAAAATTATGCAACATTTTATTGTTTATATTTATTCATTTATTATGTAAAATACAATTTATCCTAATTCTTTTGTCACATATTAAAATCTTGCATGATCTATTGAATAGTATTAGATGATCATCATATAATAAAACTTGTATATGGTTAATTTGTTCAATTATATGTGAAATTCTCAAAAAGGGTCATTTAAGTTGTTCTGAAAATTTGAATGTAATGAAAAAAAGGGGGTTTTTTTTCTTTTCAATTGTATACAGTAAATAAATATGAAGGAAGAAAATATTCAATAAATTGTTCACTACAAAAATGTCATAATTCAGTGGTATATAAATTATGATTTATTCTTTACCTTAATTATAACTTGTCACATAGGACTTGCATTCACTTTATTTAATCACATTTTATTTCTGAAATCCTGCTAGAGGTACGAGAGTGGTTGTCACATCCCAGTTCGTCATATTATATTTTAAAAAATTTCAACTGTCTGAACAAGAGAATAGGCTAAGGTTGATCTCGAAGACCTGAAGGTATTATCATGGTAACCAAAGTACAACTAAGTGATGCCTTTCTGTGAGTAGTTCAGTGTTGGTTTTGTACTTCCCAAACCTTACTGCTGGTGATAGCGATCCATGGAGTAAGGTGAAGTGTTCAACCTTTAACAAAGTTCTCCTTCTGCTGTGAAAATGCAGGATCGATGGAGATGCTGAAAAACACATTCCTGTATATTCAGCAGTATTGCTTCATATTGGGGTTGAGAATTAACCACTTTTAGCCTACAACCAAGCCCCATGGCCTGTCATGATCTAAAAATTAAATGTTCCAGACGAAATAACTTGTCTGGTTTACCACAACATCTAAGCCTAAATATGACATCAAAGTAATAGACACTGCAAGTTTCGCTTTCAAACAACGACTTCTATTATCATCGTTACTTTCTTTTTTCCAAACTTTATAGCATCCTAATCAGATTGTAAAATTTTCACAAATAATCCCATATATTTTTGTATCTTACATGATGTAAATAAAAATTTATTTCTATCCCCAATAGTCTTAAAGTTTATTAAATATGCTCGAATAGAGTTTTAACTTTTTAAACACATAAAGAAAACAATTAAGCTTTTTTGATTCACACATTTCCTTCGAAAGCAGTAAATACTATTGACAACTTAAGTTGGTTTGTAATTTATGATGAATTCAAAAAACGTCATTGTTTGTGACAATCAATGAACAATTGATAAAGTACTTCTGTTTACTGAAGTTCGGTCTCGAATCTTGAAAAATATAATTTTTGGCTTATATATAACTGAAGTTAAAATAAAACCTTCATAGTCTACAAAATATTGCCATTATATCATACCATCTTCAATTATGTATTTAATAAGATGAATGATGGACATTTTTTAATGGCTCCCCTTCTGTCTTTTACATATCTACTCTCAAAAACCACTTAACTAACTTCATAAGTAAACCTAATTATACTTTAAATGGTGTTTTTTGTGTGTTCAATTTCAACTTTTGTTTGATCTTTGTTTTCATTCGATCAACTAATAATCTATGTAATTTATATGTTAAGATAAAGCATTTATACTTCATTAAAAATTGAGTTTCAACTGCCGATTAGACATATATATATAAAATATAGTAATAATGAGTATACATTTTTTTTCTGGATTACAATATTGAAGAAATGTCTGGTAAAGTATAAATCATAATACAACTGTCTGCTAATTACATTCAAATGTTCTGTAATATAAAAAAGTAATCTTAATTATATTAACATGAATGTGGGTTTTTTTTAATTCTTTAAATATGCATCAAATTTTAATGAGTCTATTCTTTTTTTTTGAATTTTATAATCAGATATAAACTGACAGTTGCTTTCAAACTCCTATTTTTTTGTATAAAAAAAATAAATATGCTTCATAATTTTTGAGTTGTAATAAAAAGATGAAAAATAAAAGATCAAATGACTTGTTGCTTTGTGTACAAACTTCATCTTGTTGAGAGCATGATGTCTGCAATGATGCTATAATTTGTAAGAGTTTGTGTTGTAAACGTCCAAAGATGTATTCGATCAGTTTTCGTTGTCAAATATGCGTCTTTAGTAAATGTCTAAATATTCCACGTAACTACAATTTGATGATTTGTTTAGATGGCAACAAGTACTGTAGTCGAGCACAAGTTTCAGTGTAAACATCAACATGAAATTGCAGGCAAATCGAACTAACAGGTCATATATGAAATGAAAAGTGCGTTTTCAATTTCAATGCTATCCGGAAGATATATAGAGTAAATGAGATATGGTGGGCAGTGAAATCCAGCACTTCGTTTCGTCCCATGTGGGACTCGTCAGCTAAGTGTATATGCATCCCAGACTTCTTGTTTACTACTAGAAGAAACACGAGTCAACTGCTTATCATATCCTATCTACTCTAAATATACCTATGTCATATTGGCCATATCGACATAATTCTTACAAAATGTATATATACCAACTAAGATCGATCAAAAGTCAGTGAAAATAATGACAACGGGATAATTCACACAATTTCAAATTCAATTTAAAAAAATATGCGTTTGGGAATTTAGAAATGAGTGACGCTAGTTAATATAAAACAAAACTTACTCTTAATCTGGGGAAATGTATTAATTCTAATGGTCTGAATACAATAATTTCACGTTGTTGTATATGCCTTAATTTTAAACGATTATTACGTAATTCAATACGTACAGCATATGTAATAGATGCTGATGCACCACCAGCCAAACAGTTTGTCGGTAATTCAAATGTACTAGGCAAATCTGCTGGTAGTTGAAATTCAAAGTAAAATACATGTATACCAGGTGTCAATGTAAATTTTGTTTTCGTTCTACTATGTTTATCAATGGATGGTTGTAATTTTTCACTGGTATTATTATTATTATCATTTAATAGATCATGATATTTTTTATTAGTATTATTCGACAATATATGTTTATTTGTTTGCTCATTTAAACTAAACTTATCATAATGTAATTCAATGTCATTTGGGTTTTTGTTTAAATTATTATCATTTTTTAATGTTTCAATAGTGCTATTTGTTGCTAACTGATCAGTTTTCTCCATATGTTTACTTGACAAAACATCATTGTATTGTTTAAGCAAATCAAGTTTTGATTTGTAAATTAATTGTAAATCACCATGATATATACATTCTTTCTTCTCCTCATCAATTTCAAATAATCTTTTCCATTGTTCTAAACAGAAATTAGGAAGACACATTGAATCATATATTTTGTCTGTTGTTTTCGTTATCTGTTGAAATGATCTCAGAGGATAATCGTTATTAATAATAGTAGAACTTGGAGAAACTAATTTATTAAAACTTTGACTGCTTTCAGCGTCCAATGAAGATGTAAACGATCTTGAAGCTGAAATCCATGACTCACCAATTCGTGATTCACAAATTAAATCATGATCTAATGCACATGACGAATAATTATAATTACAATTGGATTTATAATGTGTATCAGAGAAGTAACCACGATCAGTACAACAAGTTAAATGTGTACATGGCGATACAGTTTCATACGATTTACATGATTTTGTTTGCTTCAAAACATTTGATGCATTTGAAAGTAATTTGCAAATTTTATTTTCTGTAATACAAGCACTGGTATTAGTGAATTTGTTAAAATTTGAAATAGATCTTGATAAATTAATTCCACTTGCTAATGAACCAGGTTTATTCATACAGCTTTCATTTTCAATATTCCAACGGGTTTTAGCCAATCCATATAACCACACAATACAACCTTATTGTGTTAACCGTGAAAAAAGAAACAAATAAACAATTAATTATAAAATATCACAGATTTTATGAAATATATACAATGATGTAGACTAATAAATATAAACGATAGTTCAAAAATTTTCTATAAACCAATTTTATAGTTGAGTTCAACTTGATGTCAAGTTTTTATATTCATATTGTTCGGTGAAATTCCATTAGATATAATAAATCTCACAATTGATTGATCATGTGTATCAAGTCCTTCTTAGTGCAGATTAAATGCAATCGAACAAGTTGCAATGTGGTTACTAGTCTAGTTGATTTGACATTGCGTGCACTATGTTGAGATAAGATGGTGATTGGAGGTAGTCGACAGGGTTTCCTGTTGAAAAATACATTACTTTTTAAAATATCCTAGCACAAAGGTTTCTCAGTTGTTACTGTCTATAAACTACGAATTCAAAGTTTATTATGATATACGTTTTTAGTATTTTTAATGATTATCAACGATTAACTTTTTCTAACCACTTTTAAAGATTTTAAAACGATTTTTTGATAAATACTTAACACTGATCCTCTTCAAAACGAATCTTTTTCATTGAACTCTTGTTGTTTTTCTATTTTCTACAAAAATATACTCATATTTTTCATTGAAATCACAGATTGATCTAACTTAAACAACCAGTGTAAACCTGAAATCATTGATTGGTTGTTTTATCCTTAATTATTGTAATGTTCCAAATCGTGAAATTCTCATGGTAAAGAGAAAATTGTAAATAAGTGTTCATTTCTTTATCTATCACTTTTATTTAGTTTTTTTTCCTTCAGTTCTAATATTTGCATGAACAGTTACAATAAGAATGAAATTTATAGCAAAATTAGAAAACAAAAGAAGTTCATTTAACTGGAAAGTGTAATGCCCTAAACTCAGAAAGTTTTCAGTTTGTAAAATAAATCACTCAATAGATTCATTCTATCTATTCCTTTTAATAAAAATTTTCTTTTGAAAAATCATCCAAATAAATAAATAGCTGAAATGTAGATATTCACTTAGAGTTATTAAATGGCCATCTTATAATATGATGAAACGACTTTAAAAAAACCATCAGAAGCCCTAAATAACAATTATCACGAGATCACAGATGACTAGCTTCGACGGGAAACTCACTGAGTTCTAGTTAGAAGCCAAACAGTGAAGTTCAACCATGCTAGGTGCGAGGCGTTTGTCATGCTGAGGAATCCCACATCAGGAGAAAACGGCCGTTTAGTGTTTCTAGGTTTTCAACCGCGGTCTAACATTGGTCAGTTTATGGTCTCTTGATCACATTCCATATTTTGCCTGTAAAATCATTGTTGTTCAATAAAGGTTAAATGAGGTATTTTATTGCAGATTACTAAATTACGGAGTTGTATATATCACAGAACCCTTTTATAGTTGTAAAGTGGTGAAAAGGATCGATCATTTAATCAAATTTTAACGACTTAGTGAAGTAGTAACAATTATTTGCAAATTATTAGAATAAGTTCATAAGCTTATATGATCTGTTTCTGTGAACACATGTAATTATGATGTATATTATATTTCTGACTGAGTAAAGTGATCTTTGAATTAACTTAAGATTACCTGACTAAATTACAAACTGTAAATCTACAGAATCGACATGTGGACACTAGTGAATAAACTATTATTATCAACAATCCAGTCAGTGCTCTATTCATTTGAAGTTTTGGGATCAAATCTTAGTAGTGACAATTATATTTTTTCTCTTTTCAAGTTGAAACAAAATCCAAAAAAAATATACGTAATAAGTTTTACAGCTATAAAACTGAATAAACTACATAACCATATTAACTAATTGACTGGCTTAACTTATAAGAAATAAAAAGAATGAATCAGTCATATTTTTTGCAATGATAATGAAACATGCAAATAGAAAATATCTATTAGTGTCTTATGTTTTCTATGAGTAGAAAATTTATTATTGGCACAGTTGAAAAAATAATTTTGGGAGGAATTTCAATCTTAAGATTGACATAAACAACACAAAACAAAACATAGCGTCTACTCTCAAAAGATTTAATAACAAGATATTACCAGTAATGCACTAAAATACAAAAAATCAATTTTGTTTTCTCCTAAGACTGGAGATAATAAGGATCTTTTATGTTAATCAAACGAATCTCGAAATGAAATTCACACCAGTACTTTGATAAAATGTATCCAGCTATATTTTATTATTATTGTGAATAATAATAACAAGACTCATATTATTTAATATTATTTGTTTAATGATAGTGAATTATAAAATATGCAATTTTGCAATATAATTCACTTTTAGTAAGTATTCAACCTATAAATACTTGAAACATATCTATACAAAATCTTTAAACGGTAACTAAAACACATTTATGCTCATTTATGAAAGTTTTCAATCAATCTTACTTCCAAGACACCTCATTTCATTTTCTAATTAAATGACGTAGGAATAAGATAGTAGTAGACTATCGTTTTTAAAATGGACATAATAGAAAATAACTAAACGAACCATCAATATGGTACTTTTTTGTGTGTTGTGATAAATCGAAAACAATTTATGCAGTGGAATAAGTAAATCTGGTAAACAAATATAATCAATAGATTAAAAGAAGTTCAAAGCAATGTAAAAAAAACGATGCACGGGATTTTGATACTTCTCAATTCTACTTAACCATGTTATTATGGAAATGAGAATAATTCGATTTAAAAGATTTCTGAAACTCATGGAAATTCACATAAGATTATTTTTTTGTATTCATGAGAAGAAAAGAACACTAGTCTAATTGACTATATGATGATCTAGAGTATAGTGAATTCTTAATAATAAAACCTAAGATTTATCTCATCATTCTGTATTTATTTGTTTATTACCGACTTAGTATTTTATCACACTTTATGCCTTTGAGGAATATTACAAGCTAAATTAATGCTACACTGTAATAATAATAATCGAACTAGCTGTGAAAATGGTTTACTTTAGATAAGAAACTTAATTTTTCTGTTAAAGATAGTAGTAAAGAGTAAAATAGTTTAAATTTTTGATCTTATATAATTCAATGTAATTCAAATCAAGTTTTAATTCTTCAATCAGTCAATGTTTTTTTTAAAAAGTTAATGTCCATTTTATAATCTCATCAAATGAAGTTCTCACATTATCTACTATAAATATACTATTTTAAGTTTATTGTGTGAATGAACAAATTGAATTGAATATATAGATGAAAAAACACTTCTTTATCTCTTTTTATTTTATAATAAAAATGAATCATATTCAAAAAGTTTATTAATTCTATTTCTTTTAATCCACGAACTTGAATTTACAAAGTCTATAGATTATCCAACTACTTTTTTTTTAATAAGACAATCCAATAAACAAAACTAAATTGTTTTTTCAAGTATAAAAAGAAAACAAACTGAATGAAATTACTTATAAGACAATACTTACAAGTTAAGATAATGAAGATTTCAATAATTAAATTTTTAAGCTCAGTGAACAGAACACCCTAACGTTTCTACATAGTGTATGCAATTACGTGGTATTTAGACAAGTGGAAATAATAACTTGATTGATGCAATTTAATCAATATTTAAAAGACAGAACAAATATAATATTGGTTACTAGTTAGTAATCAATTAATTGTAAATATTTCAAGGGTACCTCAAATGGCTTACTGGTAACGCTTCAGAATATAAAGTTGTATGAGTAAACTTCAAATTTCATAAGAGGGATAAACTATGTCAACATTATAAATTCTTCTTGTTGATATAAGCTAGCTAGTTATCACGTTTTCAAAGTTCATGAATTTTTCTTGACTATCTTAAACTACCTAACATTTAAGATCCTCTTTCTTTAACATCTTATGGATAGTTTGTTGATGCGATTATCATTAATTGTATTTGAGTACTTAAAAGAGTTCTGATTTGAAGTCATTACTTCTTTTGATTCCATAGGATTAACCATAATTAAAGTGATATGACAAAGTGAAATAAAACTGAAGTATACACAATCGTAATTTTTCAATCTAATACTTTACACTTGTTTCTTTTCAATTATTGAAATAAAAATATCTTTTCACAGGATGATAGTGGATTTTTTTAAACATATAATTCTTTATTTTAATATCTATATATGTCCTATTAAGGTATTATTAATAAAAATCGGATCAGAAATTTTGGTTTATCATTGTTGAGAATAGTAATAATAATAATCGATAAGAGTATGTTTATAAAAATCTCAGTTGATTGACCACTCAACTAATTTAAATTACATAATTAAGTTCATTTCATCATTATGAAAAATGATTTATTGGAAGAAAGTTGTAAGTTTATTAATGATGCGCTTTGTTTAAAAGAAATCTCTAAAAATACGGTCACAAAAAGCACTCATGGAAATCACTAGAAGAAAAGTAATTATATTTATTGAGATAATCAATACGGCACTTAAATCAAACGAGGAATTTAATTATTATTTATGTATAATTAACCAATCTACAACTTGGTAGTAAATATATTTTTTTATTATATCCAAATGAGTAAAACAAATGGGATTGTTGACGCTTCGTGACTTAATGTAAATCACTTTTTCAGAATAAAGAATTAACCGAAATAAATTAACACAAGTATCATTTGTACTCTTTGAACTCATGTTAATTTATTTCCGTTTTTTGTTTATCCTGAAGAAGTGGCTTAAATTAAGTCACGAAATGCCAAAAATACAATTTTTCTACTGATTGTGATATAACAAAACATATACTTATCATTAACTTTCTACTCGGTATCGAATATATTTGAAACTTTTAAGTTCAACCCTGGCAATAATACTTATAAATTCACAACTTGGTTTTAAAGTTTACTGTAAGACTAGTGAGCAGAGATGACTGATGACTAGCACCTGAATTCTAGAACATGCGTCTCGTTCTATTTAGGACTTGTCAGATGGATGTAACTACATTTGAAGGCTGATGTTCACTCCGTGACACATACAA